CTCCCCACATCAATTCCTCCACATGTCCCATGAACACCCTGACTCCGCTTACTATTGCCTTGTCATCGACCACGAGCGTCCCGAGGACTTGCTTCCAACGGACAAACCCGACCAAGATCCTCCTTCTGATCCCCACATCACCGCCCTCCTCCCCGAATTCAAAGATGTCTTCCCCGAGTCCTTGCCCACCAGTCTACCTCCCGATCGCGGTGTATCCCACACCATTGATCTCGAGCCCGACCACTCTCCTCCTTGTTGCCCCCCGTACCAGCTCTCCGTCCCTGAGGCCGAAGAGATGAAGCGACAACTTAATGAACTCCTTGAGAAAGGATTCATTAAGCCTAGCTCCTCCCCCTTCAGAACTAGGTGTCTCTTCGTTAAGAAGAACGACACCTTGGGACTCTGCATGTGCACAAACTACCGTGCCCTGAACCGGATCACGATCAAGAATAAGTACCCACTCCCTCGCATATCCAAGCTTCTTGATCGCCTCCGTGGAGCCAAGTATTTCACCAAGATTGATCTCCGCAGTGGCTTTCACCAGCTCCGCATCCGCGAGGAGGACACCCACAAGACCGTCTTTCACTCTCGCTTCGGGCACTACGAGTTCCTTGTGATGCCCTTCGGACTCACCAATGCCCCCACCACATTCCAATCTACCATGAATCACATCTTTCGCGACCTCCTCGAAGTCTGTGTCGTGATCTACCTTGATGATATCCTCGTCTTTAGCCCCACCTTCGAATCCCACCTCGAACACCTTCGCAAAGTTCTCTCCATCCTTCGAGAACAAAAGTTAAACGCCAAGCTCAACAAGTGTACATTTGCTGCCCCTAGCGTAGAATACCTTGGTCACATTGTCTCGGCCGACGGCATCCGCATGGACCCCAAAAAGGTCTCCGAGCTCGTCGAGTTCCCACCTCCCTCCACCTTGACCCCGCTTCGCTCATTCATTGGACTCGCCAACTATTACCGCCCGTTCATTCAAAACTTCTCCGACGTCTCCTACCCTCTCCATGAGCTCACCTGCGCCACCAAGTCCTTCACGTGGATTGAACGCCGCCAAGCCGCTTTCGACAAACTCAAGCAACTCATCACCACCGCCCCCATCCTCAAGATTGCTGACCCCACTCGCCATTTCTTCGTCGTCACTGATGCCTCAGACTTCGCCATTCGCGGAGATGAATTACCCCTCCAACGAGAAGGAACTCCTAGTCGTCGTCTACGCCTTTAAAGTCTGGCGCCCGTACCTCGACGGGCAATACTTCACCATCCGCACTGACAACACAGTCGTCTCCTCCATCCTTACCAAGAAAGACATCACCCCCCGCCAAGCCCGATGGCTAGACTTCCTTGCCCAGTTCACCTTCACCACCTGCCACACCCCCGACAAAGGTTGCGTTGCTGATGCCCTCTCCCGCCGCCCCGACCACAGGCCCCCTGAGAAAGTCTACGCCGCCATGACCCACATTCAACTTCTTCCCTCGCTACATAGCCGCTACACCCAAGGTTACCTCTCTTGCCCAGACTTCGCTTCCATTTACTACCAACTCCGCAACCTTGACTCAGTCCCTGACTACTCTCTCCATGACAATCTACTCTACATTGACACCAAGGGCACTCGCCGACTCTGCATCCCTGACGCACATGGTCTTCGTACCCAGCTCTTGACCGAGCACCACGACGCCAAGACCGCTGGCCACCTCGGTTTCCAAAAAACCTTCGCCACCATCTCCCGCTACTTCCATTGGCCTTCTCTGCTCGCCGACGTCGAAGCATACATCCGCTCGTGCCCCACCTGTCAGGCCGGTAATCCCTCGAACCGGGCCAAGTCCGACAAGCTCCAATCATTGCCCATCCCTACCCACTGGTGGCAGTCCATCTCCATGGACTTCGTGTGCGGCCTCCCCAAGACCGACCGTGGGCATGATTGCATCTATGTCATTGTTTGTCGTCTGACCAAACACGCCCACTTCATTCCTTGTACCACCTCGCACAATGCCAAAGACATCGCCATACTCTTTTTCGATCATGTCGCTCGCCACCACGGTCTCCCCGAGAACATCATCAGTGACCACGATCCCCGCTTCCTATCACAGTTCTGGAAACACCTCTTCAAAGCCTACGGAACCACGCTAAAGTATAGCACTGCATTCCACCCCCACGGCGACGGCTAGACCGAGAAGATGAACGATACTCTCCAAAGAGTTCTGCGGAAGTATTGTCATCCACACCAACATGACTGGGATCAATTGCTCACAGCCGCCGAGATTGCCTACAACAACGTTGTCTGCCCCTCCACTGGCATGTCCCCTTTCTACCTCGACCTTGGCTACCATCCCCGCTTGCCCTCTGATTTCTTGCTCCAAGAGACCCGCCAAGTCTCATTTGCATTTCCCTCGCAGCTCAGCCCCTCCACCCCTTGCCCCTCTCTCAATGAATGGGTAGCAACAATGAACAGACTCCTCAGAGAAGCAACTGAAGCCCTTGAAAGAACATAAGAACAACAAGCAAACAAGACTAACAAACACAGACGTGACGTGTCATTCAAAGTAGGGGACAAAGTCTGGCTTTCTGCCAAACGCTTTGAACCCGAACAAGGCTTGCCCAAGAAACTCCCGAACAAGTGGTTCGGTCCCTTCCCCATCATTGAACAAACCTCTCCCGTGAATTACAAACTTCAGCTTCCACCTGACATGCGTCGCATCCACCCAGTCTTCCACGTAGAATACCTCAAGGATTACCACGAATCCCCGCCCCAGTTCGCTGACCGCCCTTATCCTAGACCTCCACCAATCATGCTTCCAACAGGCCCATAATTCATAGTCGAATCAATCATAGGACGAAGAACAACTCAAGTATCAGATCACCCGGAACCAATCACCGAATACAAAGTAAAATGGACCGGATACCCTGATGAAGAATCAACATGGGAACCCCTTGATAATCTCAAGAATGCCATGAAACTTGTTCGTGCCTATAATCGTGCCTACCCTGTATCCTAACTATACACCGGCATAAACCCTAAACCCTCGCTTAAAACCTTGCTACAACCTTGCAACCCTGCTCTACACACACGCTTGAACCCAGCCCACCCTCCCCTCGACCCTGATTCCTGATGTCTGATCTGCCCTTGCCCTCGCCTAGCCTTGTCCCATCTGTCCCCTCCACTACCTTGTCTCTCTTGTCCAATGCTTGTGAACCTGCGTG